TTTCTGTTTCTTTTCTCTTTGAAAAAGATTTTTACCCAGCAGCCATGATTCCCCTCAGCATGAAAGGAAATCAAGTAACAAGGATGAACAGAGAAAGGATGATGAGTGGTTAAAGTATGCTGGCAAAATCTCATCTTGTATTTAACTATGAATATCAATAGGAAATTCTATGGTGAACCTGTAAGGTGATTGTGCGATGCTAAATGATCGAGAATGATCACCCACATTCTTGGGTTTTTATCCTTTATTTATGTTGTTCCTTTTATGGTTTTAATTGTGAATATATTGTATGTTGCCCAGAGTCTCATATCATAACATGGGAGACTATATAAATCTATTAAATAAAATAAAATTGTGGGCTTCCTGAATGCAGCTGAAGTAGTGCACACACAAGGCTTCTGCAATGAATTATCTTCAATATCAGTTTGTTATCAAGCTATCCACAGTTAATCATAAGACAAACTTCAGACATGAAGCCAACAGGAGGAAACTTGACCTGAGCCGTGTTTCTTCTACCAGCAGTTCTGACACAATGCTTCGAAGATAAAAGGGAGTAAGCTAAGCATGGCTTTATTCATGCCACCACAGATTAACTGAGGATTGAATTTCTATCTTTAAGGTAATGTTTCCAACCCAACTAAAAAAGCCTTCCAACCTTACAAGCAGCCTTTCATCATTAACAACTCGTTTTGCTTACTAGAATAACAAGTAGGCACCTGGCTTGCAAGAGATAATTTGGTTTGACAACCTATCCTTCTATTATACATTCAGGAAATTCTGTCCCCTGTTGCATGGACTGAGTATGATGACCAAATGGGCACATCACCAAATTCTCCTACTTATCAAACATCTTGCATTGTATTAAACTGTATTTCAATAAAATAATAACAACAATAAGGGAACTGCCAAAACAACAGATGAACAAAAGATCAGTTTCTAACTGACAAGTTGATTTTGGAAAACTGCAACAGAAGGAAGACCAACTTGAATGTAGCATGGATTACAAGGAGGCATTCAATTCCCTGCCAGATGATTGGATAATCAAGCGCCTAGAAATAACAGGAGTCAGTAGAAACATTAGTTTTGTGCAAAGGCGAATGGCACAATGGAAGACGCAGTTGCCGGTCAATGGTGATAGAGTGGAACAGGTTAATAATATCAAGAGAGGAACCTTTCAAGGAGACTCAGTATCACCATTACTATTTGTTATTGCACTGATTCTTCTGTAAACAGTACTGAATAATTCAGGCCATAGCTATCAAAAATCAAAAACATCTGCCAGGCTATCACACCTCCTTTACATCAATGATCTGATGCTGTACGAAAATACAACATCTGAAATAGCACTACTGCTCAACACTGCCTGTATTCGCAGCCAAGCTATTGCAGTGCAGTTTGGACTGGACAAATGTGCCACACTCAGCATCAAATGGGGAAAAATAATGAAAACTGAAGATGCCCTATGGAAACAACATCAAGAGTCTGGATGAGGATGATTACTGTAAATACCTGGGGATTCCTTTAAGCTGACATCATCAAACACACTGAAGTCAAGAAAGTTAGAAGAGAATACATCATGAAAATTTTTTAAAGTCCAAATTCAGTGTAGGAAATAGCACCAAGCCAAATAACAGCTGGGCAATTCCAGTCAGTGGACTGGACTCAAGCAGAACTAAAAACCCTGGTTAGAAAGAACAGTAAAATAATGCAGTGATGCTGACAGATGCTCCTTACCAAGGAAAACAAGTGAGGGTACAACAGGCAGTTGAAGAAGAAAAAAGGACATTGAAAGAATGTATGAAGGACAATGAAGAAGATGCACCGAAGCTAGCATGCCATGAAGGTCTACTGAGTACTGGAGAGACCAAACTGGCGTATTTAACGTTAATGTATTAACAGCAGCGAGGATTGTATTTGCTCAGCACTGGAAGAATGAAGAAACGCCACTAGCTGAAGAGATAGCCAAGAAGATATTGGACTGTGCTGAAACGGACAGACTTACATTGAGGATCAAAGAGAAAGAAGATACAGAATATTTTCAAACATGCAATTTATTTTATGAATGGTTGAGGGAAAAAAAGGCTAGAGATTAAGAATGTAACTTGTCTTATTAAGCATACAAATTAACCCAGACAACACGATGTTTATTAAGCACTAATCAAATGTAATAATAGAAAATTAATTTTAAAAAATTGGAAAAAAAGACAAAGGAAGAATAGAAAAGAGATATAGCAAGGACAAGTATTACTTGGCCAGTACATTAAAAAAAAATAGCAGGCAAAACACTTAAACCGGCAATGGCTAAGAGCAGGAAAATTAAAGAAATAGACAGAGGGGCCAATTCTGATTTTACAAGGCCAAGCCTTAAGCACAAAAGCATGCAAAGCCAGAATTGAAAAGGCAGCAACAGAGAACAAATGCTGCCTCTGCAAAGAAGCAAAAGAAATAGAGGATCATCTCATTTTAGCTACTGCAAGAAGGTTGTTCAGACTGATTACAAGCAACGGCGTGACTAAGTAACAACAATGGTACATTGAAATATCTGCAAGAAATACCAATTGCCTGGATGCAAAAACTGTTTGGCCCACAGAATAGACAGAATGTAACAGAAACTGAGGAAGCTAAAGTGTTCTGGGACTTTAGAATTCAAACAGAGAAGCACCTGTGACATAGCATCCCAGACTTAATTGTTGATAAGAAAGACAAAGTCCAAGTAGTGGATCTGGGGAAAATTACAAAATACAAAGACCTGCAAACAGAAGTAGAATGGATTTGGTAAAAGAAAACAAAGATACTACCAATAGTAATAGGTACCATCCCAATGGGGAATAATAGGTGCAATCCCAAAACATCTGGATCACTACCAAAATCACCATTAATCAATTGCAAAAGGCAACTTGAATGGAACAGCGTACATTCTGTAAGGATACATTTAATGCCATCAAACAACAACATCTGCCTAGCCCAGGTCCTTGGGAAGGACTCAGTAGGTGAATAAAAATCCCAAATTTTGTCTAAACATCTGGCTGACTGTGCAACCAACCATAATCTATAAAACTTGTATGCTACCCAACTCAATGACTATGGGCAGTTCACAACAATCAAAGAAATTACAGTAAAATCACTGAAATGTAAAAGATAAAGATAAAAGTTGGCAAGCACAAAAAACCAATCTCACACTCCCTTACTAAAACTATTATCCTTCTAAACCAGAGGTCCCCAATCTTTTGGGCACCAGAGACCGGTTCCGTGGAGAGAGGTTTTTCCGTGGACTGGAGGGGGCGTGGTTGTGTGTGCTGCCTGCATCTCGCGGATGGGGCTTTGCTTGTTCGTGTGGACCAGTTGCTGGCATGCTGCGACCCAGTACTGGTCCATGGACCGAAGGATGGAGACCCTTGTTCTAAACAACAGCAGAGAGAAGGCCTAAAGTGAGGTTCTTGGGGACCTCAAACCAAAGATCAGATGTTGCAATAGAGAAGGTGTGCTTTCAGGGTCCTGATAGATAACAATGTTTAATCAACGGAACTCGGGGCATGCTAAGTACAGAATTGAATTAGCTGGGTAGATGTTATGGGAGGCAAGTACCTCTTAAGTAACCTGGTTCTACAGAATATGGGGCCTAGATTTGTTAAGCATGTAACAGAAATAATGCCAGGAGGAAGATTGATTTAGACTTGGAAAAGCCACCATTTTGGATGTTCCAGCATGTTTTGCCTTCTGGAACAACAAGAGCCCGGGCAGTAACCCTATCTCATTCTGTGAGAATCTATGGCCAAGTATATCCTCTCAAGGAAAAGAAGCAGCATTAAACTTCTTGAGTGTAACTAACAGGTATCACCAATTTCTGTTCTCCAAGAGAGTACAAGTGGCCTTCAACTCAAAATTATTGCAGGATCCAATCTGGGCCAGTCACTGGGACCAGAGGTTCAGTCTTCTGAGCTTTTGGACTTGTGCCAGAGCCCATCCTTAGGCAACTTCACTCTCAAATGCTATCTGTGCATAGAGGTACACCATATTGAGAATATGAATAACAGGTGGCACATTTTTTAATAAATAAAAAGATTCCAAAAGAAAAAAAAATCTTGCAGAAGTTCTATTATTCATCACTATTCAGTTACTTTGTACAGGTGTAACTTAGTTGGGTAATGAAACATCTATTAGCAGAAAACAAAGCTCAGAAAACTCCATAAAAGGAAGATTAGAAACTTGGTAAACATTATTTTATAGAATCTAACCAACTTTCAGATATACTCTTCAAGTTATTATCTTCACATTGAAAATGGAATTATGATCATTATAAGAATGGCTTGCCCAAAACTACATATTTAATAAATTAAATCAGCCCTTTTCAGGGGCCGTACTGTTTTAGTTATCATGAATGAATTAAGACTGTCCAATGAAAAATGAAAGTAGTTTGACATACAAAAACCATAAAATCGGGATAAAGATCAATACAGATAGTCCTCGACTTACAACCATTGATTTAGTGACCATTCCAAGTCACAACAGCATTGGAAAAAGTGACTTATGACCATTTTTCAAACTTATGACCCTGCAGCCTCTCCAAGGTCATGTGATTAAAATTCAGTCGCTTGACAACTGACTCATATTTATGACGGTTGCAGTGTCCCGGAGGAGGGGGTCATGTGATCACCTTTTGCGATCTTCTGACAAGCAAAATTAGTGGGGAAGCCAGAATCACTTAACTGTGTTACTAACTTAACAGCTATAGTGACTCCCTTAACAACTGTGGCAAGGAAAGTCATAAAATGGGGCAAAACTCACTTAACAATTGTCTTGCTTAGCAAAGAAAATCTGGGGCTCAAATGTGGTTGTAAGTCAAGAACTACCTGTAAATAAACGTAGGCGGTTCCCTCTCTTGAACTCCTGGAATAGATTTCTGCAATTTCTAGCATCTATGCCATATACTGCAGGTATATCAAGTGGAATACCATAAAAGGAAGCATTTGAAGCTTATTAGTTCAACATAAGATACTTACACTGCCCACTCAAGCTTTTCATTTTTGATTGAATTGTAAAGAGCCTGGAAGAGGAAAGAAATTAAAAAAAAATTAAGTGGATTTGGATGACCATATATAGAAGATAACTTTTTTTTTAAAAAAAAATCTAAATGTCACAAATTACCATATACATGTTGCACTAAAGATTAAAACGTTATTCCTTAGCCTGGAGTGCATAAAAGTCTTTGTCATGTTTTAATGTTGCTGAACTCATTTTTTTTTCCTTTTCTTTAAGCCTGGAGACAAGGAGAGGCTTTTAACAACCCTTCGCTGACTTTGGAGACGTTCCAAAAGTTAAGAGCTGTCGCTCGGAAGTCCTCTTCAAGTGCCTTTGCTGGAGAGGACGAGTGGGCTCAGATTTAGTATTTTATTACAGATAAAACCTACATTGTCCTTTGGGAACAAGCACAAGGCCTAGTTTAGAGATCTTAGTTCTCCATGCCGAGGAAAAAAGAAAACAAATCAACCCATCCATCCCCTCATAGAACTAGCTTCAAATTAACAGAGACCAAAAACACGTCCTGAACAATGATACTGAGGCTTATGATGAAGTAAATTTTGCTAATATATTGTTTTAGAAAAGCTATGCCAATGGCAACCACAAAGCTGATTCCAAACTTAAGTGAACTCTCCTTGTAAATCCTTATAGAAACCCTAGTTTCTAAGGTCATTTTTAATATATTTTTTTATATTTAAAATTTGGAATCAGAGTTTCTTGTACCTCTCTTTAGAATCAGAGGTGAGCTGTATAGATCAACAACGCACAATTAAAGGAGATAAAATATTCTCTTCTCAGATGCTACATCAATGCCGATCTATTTGTTTTGGCAGGTAAAGGATTTAAAGCTCCCTACTTGCATTTTGCCCACTCCATTTGATATTTGGTATTCTGTAGCTAAAGTCTCCAAATAAAATGACATTAAATTCGTATAGCATATCCCGAATTTCTACCCTCCTGCTACAAATCACATTTAATGTAAGAGCTGCTAAAATGACACCTATCAGACCTATAATAAAAGCCATTTCACTTACCATTTTATCTATTACTATAAAATATAACTTTGTAGAGAGCCCAGACAAGATGGGAATAGTATGATTGGTAGTATTGTTCAACCATATCTTTGAACAGCAGGTCAGGTAGCTATTTAAAATTAGTACCAGATTGCTTTTCAAAATTTCCTGATATATAAATAGTATGCAACCTTTATGTATTTCTGCACTTATTTAAAGTCATTTATGTGGAATCCTTCATAAAATCAATGCAAAGTCAAGTAATTGTGAGGAAATAAAAACACCTTATTTCAAAAGATAACAGTAAGTCCTCAGATGAGCCTCTCTAGAACATGACACCCAACATCTGTGCTTTGAAATATGAAGCCCATTCAGTAACTTAACAACTAATATACCTCAGTATAGTCCCTAAAATGCAGCACCAACTTCTCATCTGGACCTGGCAGCTGTACTCTGAGCTAAGTGTAAATTCATGACAGCCTTCAAAAGTTGTGTGTGTGTGTGTGTGTGTGTGTGTGTGTGTGTGTGTGTGTGTGTGTCTAAGCTGTGTGATTGAAAACTGAATGTCTTACTGCTCCTGTAAATTTTAAAAATATAACAAAAGCAAAAATAATCAATGATAAATGAATACTTCAAAAGCATTAGTTTATAGTGTCTATACTCTTGGGGGTACTGTCATCCTTCCACCCCATCGCTAAAGTTTTCCAAAAGAGCCAAAGATCTCCAGGAGGAAACATAACATCTAAGCCTGAAGAGAAAATCCTGAACATTGCTTGAGCATGGATTACTGTCTGCAAGAGCAACACATCTGGAGATTACTAGGCTGCAGGCTGCTTAGTTGAGAGTTCTGTCTTTAATAGTATCACAAAGGTGGCTATATTATATATTATATAGTTGATATTTGTGGTGGATGAACATGACATAATAAAAGATTTGATCTGTAGTTACAAACCTAATAATTGTTATATGCAGAACAATTATTAGGTTTGTAACTACAGATCAAATCTTTTATTATGTCATGTTTGTCCACCATAAATATCAACTATAAGAAATCAATTTCAAAGGAAGAAAAAAATTGTCTAGATTACTTACACAGCTGTTTCTCTTTCTAGCATACCAGTTTCAAGAAAGTTTAGATATTCATTCATTCATTCATTCATTCATTCATTCATTCATTCATTCATTCATTCATTCGTTCAATTTATACAGCCATCCATCTCGCACATTTGACTCTAGGCACCTTACAATAAAATAGATAAAATACATAATGTAAAAAATAAAATAAAACACATAGCAGCTAGGCATCATTCAAACAACTATCAACTTAGCCAGTACTGTAGATGGATTCCATTACTCACCCAGGACCCAAGACACAGGTACAAAACCAAGTTTTCAAGGCCTTTGGAAATCCAGCAAGGAAAGGCCAATCTAATCTCAGAGGGGATAACATTCCACAGGCAGAAAAAGAGGTTCCTTCTGGGCCCCACTAGCCAACACTCCTTAGCCAACTGTACCTAGGGATCTAATAGGAAGGGTAGACACCACTGGGGAAGGCTGGTCCCACAAATAACTCGGTTCCAAGCTATGAAGAACTTTAAAGGTCACAGTCAGATTATTTCGAGCTTGCATGATCTTTCTCCTTGGCTGATTCAAAACCGGAAACTGTTGTTAAAAACTTAACAATTAATGGCATGCATTTCACCATTGTAGGCTTCCTCGTTTCCAAAAGATTCTTATTTTTAGTTGCCCAACAAGTCAGTACTCAATTGTTAGAAAAAGCAGTTAGTAATCCTCTCTAGCCACCTCTTTCTTTTTTGCTCTAGGAAATTGAACCATAACAAAATATGGCAGGAATTTCTTAAACCATCTGCTTTGAATCTGAGTGGGGTAAATATTTCGTATTAGATATAATTCTAAATCTCTGAGTGTGACTAGAGTGTTAGATGTACACTAAGCATACTTAAGTGTGTGGGTATGCGTGACCGTGACCATATAGTTTTACATCTATTAATACTGTAAGATAGTAACATGTTGCTGAAAGTAATCTTTAACTATCCTATCAAAATAATGATATTTATTCAAGTTTTATCTTTCCTTCAATACTTGACTTCAAGACTGCAGAATCTTTTTATGCCAAATTATATCCAGTTCCAAGTTATATCCAGCTTCAAATCCTGCTATGTTGGCAAGACTCAGCAAACCAATGAATATAATGTCTAAGTACTACCTACTATGTTTAGAAAGTTCTAAATTCAGACATTACCCTAACATTCTGTTATTAATCAAGTTATGAACCTCAACCCACCATGAATTGATTCCTACTGAGCATTGCATGTTAAGTTTTTGAAAAGTTCAAGAGTGCATTTGGAGATGGGAGTTCATTTTTCTTGTAAGGTACCCCATTATATGCAAAATATTTGTCCAATAGGACAAAGGGATAGTAATTAGGATTTAAACAGTGAGATCCCCAAAAAGTAGAATGGTAGATGGTACCATGTAGATGGTATGATAAAATCAATACATAGTTATGCTCTCACCTGAACACTTCACCAGTTTTCTTGCCAAGGAAAAGAAAAACCTATTTGATAATTGAAGATTTTGCCTCTATTATATGAACTACGATTTCAGTCCCTGTTAGAACTATTGAATGCTCCACAGTTAGTCATAGGTATTTCTTGAAAGCATGAGGATTAAATTGAGATTAGAGGGTGTATAATCACAATATATGTGGCTTAGGTGATCAATGGGATTAAAAGATTTTTATATATTTTCTTTATAAAAGTGCCTGAAAATATTATTCCATGCTAAGGATGACTAATTACAACTTGCTGACTTTGTATACCCAAAGTGAATGGCAGCATGTTCAACATATTGGAGAAACAGAATGAATTGATTTAAATATTGCCAACTACAAGAACACTCATGTACATCTCCATGTTCTGGGTCCATCTTCTGCTGCCGTCCATTGGGAGCTGGGATTCACATAATACTAAATCACAATGGCTGGGTTTTATAAACCATGCTACAGTTAATTTTATTCACAAATCAGATCATTGTCTTTCTGCATATAATTTCCTACTATAGGCTACAGGCTTCTTAAATAAAGCCCGTACAGTTCTTTTAGATTATTATTAGTGAGCCACATTATATATTCTGTGCACTTTGTTCCAGAATCACTGCACCAAATCATTAGGTTATCTATCTATCTATCTATCTATCTGTCTGTCTGTCTGTCTGTCTGTCTGTCTGCCTGCCTGCCTGCCTGCCTGCCTACCTACCTACCTACCTACCTACTTCTTAATCATCTTAAAAGAAAAGAAAGCAAATGAGCAAGGAAGCAAAAGGAGAAAAGAAGTATAGTACAGAAATATAATATACATATGGACAAAAGAATTACCAAGATTGCTCAGTTAGTGCTCAGTATATTGCTGATTAGAAATTAACCATAAAACATTAAATTATATTTAAGTACATTAAATTATTTTAGCAATGTAAGAATTTAAATCTTTGACCAAGCTGCCATAATCTCCATTATTTGTTGTTGAAAAATACAGAGAAAATAACAAACTACTAAAACATATTATAAATATGACTTTCTAACTACTCCTTGTCCTATTTTGATATATATCATTTACACATTAAAAATGTTTTTGTGTCTGTGAAGCATTTGTCAGCTCTTTTTTTCCCTTAAAAACTATACAGTACTCTAGTACTTATATTTGCTTTGTTGCATAATATATATGTATGGAAGCCATTTGGTTAAACATCTGTTGTGAATATATACGGTTAATTTTGCCATTACTACATATTCTCCAAGTTTTGGTTCCCAGTCTGATATCTTCAATAATGTATTTTTTTCAATATTGTGCTACAATTTATCCTTATCGCTATAAACGTGTATCCTAATCAACCGAGACTGTTCTTTTTGATATGTTTTAGAAATATACCTTGTAAAAAGAACTGTTATTTCAAACTGGACTTCCAAAGTTCTCTGAAGAGTGCTAAATCTCGC